TATTACCAAGAGATTGCCACTTGTTCTATGATACTTTACCTCACAAGTAATCTTTTAAAAACTTTTTATTACATTGACATTTGATTGCATACATACTTTTGAATTACCTACATTGTATTTCTTACATTCAAATCAATTAGATTAGATTGTTTTTGTTAGACGTCATGAAAATCGTCTGTTTATAAACAAAATAAAGAATCTGATTCAAAATATTTAACGTATTTGTTAAAGCCATTACCATCTAAGTATCTTAATTTATTACAAAAATAAATAGATGTAAAGTAAATACCTCCTAACTAACGGAATACATACAACACTATCGTATAATATATTGAAATGTCATTAGAAACAAAGAATTAATTATTCTTATTCATAATAAATAAACATATTCAACAATTTCAAATAAATTAAAAAATTAAACGTTCTTTTCGCTTTGTGTAAAATTCTAACTTCAGCAGTTAGAAGATATTGGCACTTCACCGTCGATATATAAAACGTATTTGCCCTTGACATAGAGATCACTAAATGCACGCATTACGCTTGAATAAAAAAGTAATAATCTATTAATGTCCTTTTATTAATAACATGATTTGGTTACTCATTATATTATATTCACACATCAGATATTATATATATATATATATATATATATATCATCTTCCTTTTTACAAACAAGTAATAATATCCAGTTGAACACTATACATAAGCTTTGTTCAATTTTAAGCTTAGGGTATGCCGGGACATACTGCCAGAAACGATGAGAGAACCTGTCTGCTTCAGGGATCTAGGGGTTGATTTAAGAGGATTGATTATGAATAGACATCGGATTTTGCATATACAAATACATATAACTCTAATTACGGCGTTAATGCAGTTTTATCCTTTTTTTCCAATCGTGCATATTTCGTTTAGTAGCGGGAGGAATGTATAGGGACCTAGGTGACGAAGACGTGTAGGGCGCGAGCGCAGTGGCTGACTGATCTGACTGGCCAAAGAACAATGGCAGACTTTCATACATAAAATTAGTTGAGAAGAAATGGTAGCGTCTATATACCAAAAATATCTTAAAATGTTAAGCGTCAGTCCCTTAATAACTCTGTCAAAGAATTTTGTACTGAGAAGGCCCTAAAAAAAAAAAGATATTTACATTTGAACCTTTTTAGGTTATGTCCTATGTCATTTGGAAAAGTCATGCTTCCTGTGGTTGTTTGATGTTAGCTTAATACATAATACATAATTGATAGTTTTTAGATTATTGTATCTCTATTATATATTTGCATACTATAAATGTATATTTCTGGCATGGTTCCAGGGCTTTTGTATCATAGTGACATTCTCAGAAGGGTTAGAATTCAGAGCCGTAAGGCCAAAAAAAAAAACAGTGACATTTTATTGTAGCTAGTGTTGGCATAACATTAAATCGAATTATTACATAGTACTATGATTGAGATAATGTATTATTGTAGGAAATTCTTTGTACGAGACTTATTCTCAACCATATCACTTTTATTTTTATTATTACTGATAGTACAGTTATTACTAATAATAACTTAATATAAAAATATATTGTGTGTTGTGTTGGTAGTCTCCCAAAGTATATACGAAAATAGTATGAATATACTAAATGGCAACATTTGAATAGAGTAGAATGATTTAAGTCATTTGATGTTCCCAAAAATGTTTGTTTTTTCTGTGGCTTTAAGTAAAATACATTTTTATTTGATAAATCATAGAATAATAATAAAACTCATTTTATATATAACTTATTTCTAGACGCTATAATTTATGTCAACTATTTTTCTGCCTATCAACAGTTTTAAGAGCTTATTTCGGCCTTTTTAGTGCATATTTACATGCATATTTTGGCACTTTGTTAGTGCATATAATCCGATGTCTAATTATGAGCATACAGATTTCACCTGATGGATAAGAAATAAAAGCTAAACTTAAGCATTCCGAAGGCTTCCTCCCTCAACATGGTTGAGAGAAGCTCTCAGAGGAACTTGTTAAACTTTAGTTATGGAACGAGTGCCTAAAAACCAATACCTTAACCGAAACTTAATAACCTAAATGAAGGACCGTAACGAAATTGGAAACGATTTTCAATCCCTGCCATTCAGCAAGTAAAAACTAACGACTAACCTCTAAACCTCTAAAGACTTACAGACCTCTGCTTTTATGTGATATCATCAGTTTTAGATTGTGACATCATCATGCTAGAGTAAGATATTTCTATTCAACATATTATATAAAGTATTTTAGCATATCAAAACTGTAACTGCTCAAAAATAAAGCTGTGGCTCAGAATTGTACATTTATTGTAAAGCGATAGCTTTTAACAGAGCAACGTAAGTACTGATGTACCACAAGTATGTGGTAAAGACAAGAATAATCTAGTGGAGTGGCATCTTCAACAATTGCAAGATTGTCGCATATTTATATAAGCGGTACCTTGCTAGATAATTATTAAATTAGAATTTCACATATTATCTTAATGATAAGGTAACAATTTACTAGGTATTTCTATATCCCTAAAAAATATTGATGATTTTCATATAAATTATGTACCAATAACATTTCATTAATTGGACACTTAAGAGGATATCTGGGCTACAAGACATTTGAATAGGTTTAAAACAATCTATTGTTGTCGCTCTGTGCCTGAACGACTGAACTAGGTAACTGAGAAAGTATCACTCGTATTCTCCCGTTTCCTCCACCGAATCTGGACCGATATTACTTCTTTATAAAGATATACCTTTGTATATACTAAATGGCGCTCGGATTCTTTTTTAATAAATCACTTTACACTCCCCGGAATAAAACTGTAAACCTTTTCTTTCTGCCCCTATCCCAAGTTATTTAGGGCGGCGTAGCATGTCGTCCTCTTCTAATCTCCTCTATTAGCCATCATTCTCTGACTCCTTTCTTACGCATATCATCCCTAACACAGTCCATCTATATATATATATATATATATATATATATATATATATATATATATATATATATATATATATATATATATATATATATATATATATATATATATATATATATTCTTCCTAGGTTTCTCTCTTCTCTTATGTCCAAATTATTAATTTTGACTTTATATATCCCTTTTTTTTAATAAGTACAATACTATTCTAGCAAATAGAAATACATATAAGTAAATGATGTATGTAAATTAAATACTCGTATCCTTTAAGTGACTGCATCCAAATAAATAGCTTGTATTTAATATTTCCATTAAATCTGACTGTGACGTCAATATTTCCATAAAGATATTCAAATTGGAAGTATGTTTCAAATTACCAGAACAGAAGTCTTCAATTGTCTGCCACTAGATGGCGCCTGTACTCTATCTCTGAATACTCAATCGGCTCTACATAGCAAACCCAATCCACTATGTTTCGACTCAAAACGTTGCGCCCGGTGGTCATTGACCCCGCAATGTACTTATCGAACGCCCTGTTTCAGACATTTCAGAGGACCAAGCCATAAGCTGGTCTCACAACGAGACTATAAATACCCATAATGATACACAGTTACGACTACAGATAGAACGCGAACCTCTACACCGCGTACTCTCCGTAGCCCCGCTAACCCCCGCGACCCTCAACTTCGTCAGATGCAAGTTAAACCGTCACAACCGGGATACGAACACCCCTGCTTGAACGCCGAATAAATAATTCACTAACACCTGGTATACAGGTGATCTGACGACTGGTCAAACAACAAATCATCATCATCATCATCGATATCACCATCTTCCAGCTACAGCCGAATCTGATGAAGGTGTAAAAGCCAAAAAGCTAACAGCACTAACATCACAGAATATACATGAAACAATGGTAATGCTTATTCTTGATAATTTGGTCATATTCATATAATAACAATAAGAAATGAATTTTCCATTTGTTAGAAATGATCTCCGGACAAAAAAATATGCCCAACGGTAGTAACGTTGAGCATATAATGCTTGATCGTGACACGATCGTGTTTCTCGATTCGGCTTGAGAAATATTGTATAATCCCCCATTTATGAGATAACTACTGAAAGTCTATACTGTAAGATATACATTGCGCTCCTGAGGAACCTAATGGATATTGGATAACCTTATATTGTTTTAAATTTTATTCAAATTAAGCATAGTTAATGAGCTACAATTATTTTGGTAAAATATGTGAAAGTAAGTGTAACTAATGCTAATGAATGCAATTTTGTCGAATGTGTAATACTTACGGGCTAGTACTCTATATATATGTATATATATAATAAATCTATTGAAGGGTTTTTACTTGTATGTTTGTAACTTTCAAATATTACCCTAGGAAGAAGAAATTCAAAAATATACAGAGTACATAATATGTTAGTCATCTACAAGATTTTAGTTTAATGTTTAAATTTTAGCTTAAGATAAGGAGAGTAATAATCTGCATCATCTGTATGAAAAAATGAATACGGTAGATAAGATAATATTGTTAAATCTACAATTTATATGCAATATTTCAGATGCTGTTAATTTGTGAATTGCAAGTCACAAGTCATATTTGCATTTATACTCTTGATACCAGAACTTAAAATTGTAAATGGAGATCTTTATTACAAAATAAACATAAATTACTTAGACAAGGATCATTTTCAAAATGGCATGTTCTTTAAATGTATAAATAGATATAAGCCGAAAGCTTCAATAAAACTCCAATCATATTATATACACAATTATTTTAACGACTTGACATAGATAACTTGCTTTATAAAGTATAACAACGCCTTGTATGCGATAGTGTACGTACATACTACGTAAATAATAAAATAAATATTATTTAAATAATTCCAACACTAGCGCACGAAAAACCTTTTAGAGTAACATAACTCCATAATACTTCTTCACATGTAAGAGATCTACATGCTTCGCGACGCCATTCACAAAGGTCGAATGACATCTAGTCATTCAACCAATGTGTAACTTGATTCAATAGTATTTGCGACAAGTTTACACTAAACGTAACATCATCTTGTCATTGTAACTTTCTTCTTCCTCCTCTTCTTCCTGCAAAAGTTATATTATGTTAATAAAAGCTGTAGTAGTAAGTAATGTGCTGCAGACGGAATTTCGTTGACTACCGTCACCAGGCTCAATGAGTGGCTGACTATCGACTATCATAGTCCAACGCAACGCCAATCCAACACGACTGGTGAGAGATCTATTGTAGGCCTTTCCATAAGAAATTAAGATTGGAGATTTTGTGCATATCCAGCATTGGACTGTTTAATATACATTGTGCACATAATGATGAAAAGAACAATGGATCTTATTATTTATCAGAATGAAATATTGGACTCAAGTAAATTGGCATGCCCCATTGTAGAAAGGATTTATAACATTTAATTGCTATAATGGGTATGGGTGAGGATGTAAATTATCCATGCTGCCTCCACACAATAACCCATCATAATTTTGACACCAATTGATATATTCTAAAAATTGATGAACACAGATGTTCTGATCTCATACCAATATGTAATTATTGTGATGCATCTAAGCTTTGTAAAAGTAACACCTAATTTTTGTAGTAGCTTATATTAAAATCTACTCAATAAGCTTTCTTAAGAGAATTCAGGAACTAGAGAATATGAAGTGGCCTTGTGTATATTGGCAAATTACTAACGAACTTTGGTATTTATTCTTATACTTTATAAAAATGCAAGAGTTGATTATTTTGTGATGAAATCGTGTCATGTATTTAATATAAGGCTAAATTACTTGATATTTGCTCATACGCTTGATACGAAACCGGCTCTGTACAACCAAGATCTTGGTGGAAATCACCAGCCAGTAATGCTACTATCTCTACGGTAACATCCATATAGTTTCACAAGGACTAGAAAATTCAATTCAGTGTCATTATTGATTTATTATTTTTGTTCCACTTGTAAGAATTTGCAATAGCATAACATAACGTTTGTGCATTAATTTTACTGAAGATGAATTGAGAAAAATTGTTCCTGTATAAGGTTAATTCTTACTGACCTTAACCAAATCTCTGTTTTAAGTTTTTAAACATAACAATTTGGGTTGTGTGTTGTTTTATTACATACAAATTAATTTATCTGGTAACAATAACAAGATTTTTTATTACATACAAATTAATTTATCTGGTAACAATAACAAGATTTCTACTTTACAAAAACTTTACATAAAGCTTAAAATTTTTCTGTTAAGTGTATCTGAACTGATAATGATTTGAGTTCCAGTGAGACTAATAGATAATTTCTTCCAAAAATTAAAAAAAAATCATGAATTTAAAAAAAGAAGAAACAATGACATACATCAAATCCAAAACATGTGTCGACATCTTTCTCTAATTTAATGGTCCTTTCAAGTGTCTTCTGTTTTTCTTCATTCTCTAGAATACTCCGATCTTTCTTATCTTCAATCGCAGATTCCTCCTCTTCCCCCTCCTCCTCCTCCTCTTCCTCTACTAAAAGTTTCAAAACAATTTCAAGTCAGTCTAATGCATGAATGCTTACTCAACTAGCCTCAGCTAATGCCAAAGCTATGATTTAATTTTTTTATAGATTTAAGGGTGACAAGCGAGCACACATTTCACCTGATAGTAAGTGGATACTGTGACCCATAGACATCTACATTTATCCCCGATTAAGAGTCAAAATGGAGATGTGTTGTCACCCCTGAGGACTAAGATGGAATGCCTCGTTTCCAGTGAAAAAAGAGTATCCGGTTCTTTACACTGACCATACGAAACACAGCAGCATTAAGCTGCTATTTTACGCTGGTATTCTGTGAGAGCGTGGTCCTTCCCTGGTTGAGCCGACCCATTCGTGCTACTATAATATAGCTGCAGCTTGGCTCTGCCACGTTGAAAATTATTATTATAATTAAAGGACTTAATTGGACTAATCTATTTTAATTAAAAGAATGCTTTAGTGTTCTCTCTATAGTCTACAAAGTCACAGTACCAGACTCCTCACATCTTTGACACTGGTGCCCGTCGCCGCTTTGATAAGTCGAGTGGCAACGAGATGGTTAAACGATAATTGGAAATCATATTTTTCTGTTATGTCCCATAGTCGTTACATAGTCGGAAGAGGGTGTCGGATTATCTTGCATCTGTACCACACGGCATCTATATTGGACACTTAAGTGGATATCCGGGCTACAAGAAATTTGAAGAATAGCTTTAAAACGATCTATTATTGTCTCTTTGTGACTGAACGTATGAACTAGGCAACTGAGAAATCATCGCTCTTATTCTCGCGTTTCCTCCGCCGAAACTATTAGTTATATATTACTTCTTTATAGAGATATGTGTTTGTATAGATTAAATGGCGCTCGGATTCTCTCTTAATAAACCACTTTAAACTCTTCGGGTCATATTAAAGTTATCCAAATAGCTTCATTCCTTACTTTGAAAAAAAAGACAATCTCTGTACCTTCTTATTCACTTTGCTACACATAGCAGACTTCAAAAAAAAATTAAAAGAAATCTCTCAATGACGCCTTATAATTTTCTGCTTGCCAGATGTCGCTAGACGACACTCAGGTAAAGTGTTTTGTTACACAATATAATTTAATTGTTAAAGTTGTAAAAATTCTAGAGCATTATATTAATACACAAAACAACACGTTAGTGGTTTGCTCTTTAATTTTTTGCACATTTTTAACTTTTTTTAAATTTTTCTACTTTTATGAATATCTGTGGTTTGGTTTATTTATTTTTAATATTATTAATATAAAATATATCGAATAGTACAGAAAGAAACAATAACTTTTACATTTTCCGAACAAATTAACTTCCCCGCTATTAAATCTGTCAAATATTATACCTCACTTTTTAGTGGCGCCGCCCTGGTAGCAGAAAAGTTCGTGGATGCCCTCATTGGAGTGCTGGTTTCTTTTATGTATGCACTCGTATGTAACGCGATATATGCTTCAACTGGGAACCGATTGCAATGATTCTTTTTTTAATAAATAGGATATTCTTCAAAAGTGGTCCCATGTAAAAGCAAAAATACCAACCCTAAGGTTTGAAAAATAGATGATTCAGTTTTTATGTAGGTATCGACATTCCAGCTCGTAATATTCTTAGGCCACTCAAAAGGGTCAAGACATTAGACTTTGAATAAAAAGTAAAGGCCAACTTGAAAGAACTAAAAATAACAAAATAATTTCTACATAATAGCTTCTGAAGTCGGGGCTTTAAGCATCTATGCACATGTCGTAATAACCTCCACAATGATAATTTCCCATGAGATGTATTTGTGGTTGAAATCAGCCATCACCATCATATACAGTAAAATTTAAAGGAAGCAAATTCTATCTTGCAAAAGGTGGTCAGCAGTATATATGTTAAATAATGTATTAAATTATTATTTTACACCTTAATAAAAGATACATTTTAGCATATATGCTTTCTAAACATGTAATGATTAGTTTTATACTAATTTCAATAATCATCCTACTTTCTTGGGATCCTTTTCTTAAAAAAGGTCATTATAACAATAACAAGAAAATATTCTCACCTTGGTCTTCCTCTTCAATATAATTTCGTGTTACAACAGCTACTTGCTGCTCAGTGCCATCTTCCAATTGGATAACTTCCAGAACAACATATTGTTGACCATCACCGTCAGCAACGGTAACAAATTCACCACGCTTCAAATCTTTATCGCCCATTCCTATCTTAACATCCTCTTCCTCTTCTTGCTCATTATCTGAATCCTCTTCAACTATATCCTATGAAAACACAAACAAGAAAGAAATGTATTACCAATGAAACGGAATTTTAGCTGCCAACAACTATTGGATACACTATGGATTTTTTTTAAACTCTCGGTGTCACTGAAAATGTCAGCATTTTAAGACATATTAACGCTATTTATAAACGCAGGCGTAAAATTAACTGTATCGAGGCATGCAACAAACTTCGACAAGGCGACAATGATCTATATTATTTAATTACATTATAAAAAAGTAAATTGTAACATACTAAAAATGCTGCAGCGCGAAGAAATAATACATTTATAATAAAATATTAATTTATTTATTCATTCCAATAGAATTTACAAAAATACACAATATCCTAATTAAATTCACTTTAAAGTTGAACACAACAAGAAATTTTTAAACAATTATAAAATAAACTTCTTTTATAATGATTTCTTATATTTACGCCAACACTACACATTGAATAAAACTATTTTTACGGATTTTATCGCGTTTAATTAACTTATTTTATATTCCCGACGTTTCGGTTGCTTTCCAGCAACCGTGGTCACGGGGGACTGAGGTAATTGACGTCCCGATGTCAGTGTTAAACCGGAGTACCTTCAGCTTTTTAATTAATAATTTTGGTCCGATCTACGCAGAATGAACTGTGTCTTGAAGTCTTGCAGTGGTATGCTTGGGTTTAGTTTTAATTTTATGAATTACAGGATCCCAAGCAAGTGGTAGTACCCAGCCTCCCTCTCTATTGAAATTAGGATGTTTTTTAATTTCAATAGCCTCACGTATCATCCTTGGCGGGGGCCGTCTAGGATATGATCACAAACTGCAGACTTCCCGGAACGTTGGTGCTTCACGTCAGCTATGTGTTCTTTTACGCGGCTTTTTATAGATCGTTTTGTTTGCCCTATATATGAGAGACCACACTCACAATCAAGCTTGTACACTCCTGCATCTTGTAGAGGAATATTGCACTTGACGGATGGTAAGAACTGACTAATCTTCTTCGGCGGCTTGAAGAATGTTCTAATAGAAGTTCGCTTCAAGATGTAGCCAATCTTGTCTGTGACACCTCTGACATACGGTAGTACAGCAGGCACACGCTCGACTGTGGCCGGCTTCACTCGGTTACAATTGAGATGCAGTTTTCAACAGGTAGGCATGTAAATAGAGACTGAACATCAAAACTGACCATAGTTTCATTGTCAGTAAGACATATGTATTTTATGTCACTGATAAAATGGTATGAATCCTTCGTGTGTGCTCTGGTGTGTCCTCTGAGTGGTGATAGTACTTTTGCTAGGTGTTGAGCCAATTTGTAAGTTGGCGAATCGATCTGACTCACTATTGGACGTAATGGAGCGTTCGGTTTGTGTATTTTTGGTAACCCATACAACTTCGGTGGTTTCGCACACGCAGGTATTATCGAATTAACGTCTAGATTCAATTTCTCGGAGTATTTCTTTATTAGATCGCCAGTTGTTTTAAGCGTATTAGTTGTAGGGTCTGTTTTGACCTTTACGTACGTACTTTCATCCGATAAAAGTTGTTGTATTTTAAAATTGTAATCGGACGTATCCATTATAACTGTAGCACTACCTTTATCTGCGCGAAGAATCGTAAGACCTGGTCTGTTGCGTAAGTTTCGATTCTCCGCGCAGATAAAGGTAATGCTACGGTTATAATGGATACGTCGGATTACAATTTTAAAATACAACAACTTTTATCGGTGAAAGTAAGTACGTAAAGGTCAAAACAGACCCTACAACTAATACGCTTAAAACAACTAGCGATCTAATAAAGAAATACTCCGAGAAATTGAATCTAGACGTTAATTCGATAATACCTGCGTGTGCGAAACCACCGAAGTTGTATGGGTTACTAAAAATACACAAACCGAACGCTCCATTACGTCCAATAGTGAGTCAGATCGATTCGCCAACTTACAAATTGGCTCAACACCTAGCAAAAGTACTATCACCACTCAGAGGACACACCAGAGCACAAACGAAGGATTCATACCATTTTATCAGTGACATAAAAGACATATGTCTTACTGACAATGAAACTATGGTCAGTTTTGATATTCAGTCTCTATTTACATGCCTACCTGTTGAAGACTGCATTTCAATTGTAACTAGGAAACTAGAGGAAAACAACATGCCAGCAGAATATGCAGTATTACTCAGACATTGCCTTACATTTGGCTATCTATTGCGGAAGGAACAGTTTTACAAGCAAGTAGATGGTGTTGCGATAGGCTCACCAGTATCTCCCATTGTCGCCGATATTTTCATGGAGGACTTTGAGGAGAAAGCCCTGCTTACTGCACCAGTAACTCCAAGTTTCTACAAGCGGTTCGTAGACGATACTTTCACAATTTTACCATCAGACAAAGTAACTGCATTTTTAGAACATCTTAATTCCATAAACTCTAAAATTCAATTTACTATGGAGTTAGAGGCAAATAATTCTTTAGCTTTCCTAGATGTGTTAGTCATTAGAAATCCTAATAATACCATAGGTCACACTGTGTATAAAAAAAAGACCCATACAAACCGATATTTAAACGGTGAATCCCACCATTACCCTTCACAGTTAGCTACCGTGGGCAAATCTTTGTTACAGAGAGCACGAGGGATCTGTGACAGCAAACACCTGGCCGCCGAGCTTCAGCACGTCAAGCAGGTTCTGCACGACAACAAGCTTCGGGTTCCGCGCCTACGTCACAGTGACCGAGTGAAGCCGGCCACAGTCGAGCGTGTGCCTGGTATACTACCGTATGTCAGAGGTGTCACAGACAAGATTGGCTACATCTTGAAGCGAACTTCTATTAGAACATTCTTCAAGCCACCGAAGAAGATTAGTCAGTTCTTACCATCCGTCAAGTGCAATATTCCTCTACAAGATGCAGGAGTGTACAAGCTTGGTTGTGAGTGTGGCCTCTCATATATAGGGCAAACAAAATGATCTATAAAAACCCGCGTAAAAGAACACAGCTGACGTGAAGCACCAACGTTCCGGGAAGTCTGCAGTTTGTGATCATATCCTAGACAGCCCCCGCCATTACATTAGATTTGATAAACCACAAATTCTCGCGAAAGAACATCGATTCCTGCCAAGGATGATACGTGAGGCTATTGAAATTAAAAAACATCCTAATTTCAATAGAGAGGGAGGCTGGGTAATACCACTTGCTTGGGATCCTGTAATTCATATAATTAAAACTAAACCCAAGCATACCACTGCAAGACTTCAAGACTTCAAGACACAGTTAGTTCATTCTGCGTAGATCGGACCAAAATTATTAATTAAATAAGCTGAAGGTACTCCGGTTTAACACTGACATCGGGACGTCAATCACCTCAGTCCCCCGTGACCACGGTTGCTGGAAAGCAACCGAAACGTCGGGAATATAAAATAAGTTAATTAAACGCAATAAAATCCGTAAAAGTAGTTTTATTCAATAAACTTCTTTTCTTATCAGCATATAACAATCTACTGTGGACATAAATATTGTAAGAAAAATTTGTTTCAATCGCAACAATTACTGAGGGACAGGCAGTCGCCGTGCTTGTTGTCTCACACCTTTGAATGTCCTCCCTCTGTCTGAGTATTTTATATTCGACATATTATACGCGATAGTTGCCCCGTCCGCTATCGCATTTTATAACCATGAGGTTTTTTCTTCTTTCCCCATAATGACCTCTTATGACACGGACGCGAAAATCGTGGAACCAAACAGAAATCAATAAACACAATAAAAAACCATTCTTCAAAGTCCACATACAGTTATCTAAACAATAACAATAACAGATCTTGGTAGACACGCATTAGCATTGTAACAGAGATAGACGCTGTATCTCTGGTAAGTAATGATAATTGCTTTCCTATTACAATGTTCATGTAATAGTTGTACCTTATCTAATGGAAGTGTAGAAGAATAAGAATTAAAGTCACATTATCTTTGTAATGAGTGCCTCGTTGGTCTAGTGGTCATAAACACGGTTGCTGATGAGGTCCCGGGTTCGAAACCCGACTCGAGTCAAAATTAGTTATTTGGTTTATCTGTCAAGAAAGTGTCAGTAGCAGCCCGGAGTCAAGTAAGTTGGCAGTATTTCAACCCCGTGCCTCAGAAAGCAAGTAATCTCTCACAGGTCGTGTCCGATTACCATCCCATCGGACTATGAGAGTGAGGGAACAAAGAGTGCACATTTTCTTGCGCATATTTGTTCACTATAATCCTATCCTGTGCAGATGGCTAGTCTTCTTTGAGATTGGCCGCCGTGACCGAAACTCGGTCTGGGGGACATTATAATTATTACATAGATTAGTATTACTTTTATTAAAGAGAAGATATAAGAATATTTACTATCTAGTGTTTCTTTATCACTTACCACTAAGTGGGATTATAGTTGAGCTAAGGCTTATAAAAAGCAAAAAAAAATTATGTACAGATAATTTAAACAAAAAGTAATATAATTAACAAAGAAAATTAATTCTTATGCTTATAATGTATAAAATCGCATGCTTGCCATAATATTAAAAAAGTCGCTTGCTCGCCTTAACGATTAGGTAAAAAAGATATATTTTAAGCAATTATAAACATCACATTATAGTGAAATGCACTGCAATTTAGAAGAGTACAAGGCACAACAGTTATAACAAATATATCTTAACATTATGCAAACACGAAAACGGTTTATTTTTTACTATAGAAAATATTGATATTACATTTTAAATATCACAAAAAGCAACCTGCAATATCAAATTTCAAAATTTCTGCTAATATCATTTCATTATGGGAAAGTTACAATGAAATAATAGTGGCAGAAACAATGTCCATGTCATGGACAGAATAACGCTAGCCCACACAGGGTTATTTTGCAATAACCGGCCAAATTTACAGAGAAGGTTCAGAATAAGTAATATAGGCAAATGGTGAAGAAAAATGAATTAAAAAAAATCTCAATTATTTATCTTTTAAATTCAAAATGCGTGGTAATGCTTTA